AAACTTGTTTTCCTAATTTGGAAGCAATGTCTTCAACTATTTATACGCAGTTTTCATTCTTGTTATCTGGTACTCCTAATATTTCTATATGATTTTCGATTTGTTTTTGTTCAAATAAGTTAACACGTAATGATAAAATGTTATATTATATATATTTTAAATAATTATTATTATGAATTATAGTTACTTTTGATAATTTTATTAATGTATCAATATTATTTTCATTTATCTTTATTGGAAATTGTGTTTGTTTTGGAAGTGTTAATTTTATAATATTTATCTCCTCTAATAATTTTGTGTTATTTATTACGCTGTGATGTATTTTCCCTAATGTTGCGTAAGTTAAATTGTCTGCTTAAGTGTCTGTTTTAAATGCGTATTCATTAATTAATAAATAGTATAAAGCATGTAGATATATCTCTTATCGCAAATTATTTTTCCAAGATTCCCAATGTATTATTTGACCTACTTTCAAAAATTATCATTGTATCATTTAAATTATTAGTTAGTTGTTATATATTTTCTGATAACTTGGATATAACTGTATATCAATAATTCTTTCGTGTTTATCTAATGTGTTCATTATAATTATACTTTAATTTTTCATTTCTAAATTTTGATTATAATTGTTTTCTAAGCATTTTACATCAAAAATATCAAATAAAACATTGCTTAATAAGCCTATTAAGTCGTATACTCCCCTTTTGAATCTGTCTAATAATTTTTTGCTTAATCTATCCCTCCTATGTTTTATTTCTATGTTAAGATATTTCATTATGTTATTAAATTTTTTACAGCCAAAACTAGCATTAGTTGTTTGACAAAATGTCTTTGCTATCTCTCCAAAAGTTGTTATAGTGTTTTGTTGATTGTCATATTTACTGAAATCAACAAATGTTGTAAATGCCTATTATTTTTGTATTATGTTCACCATAGTTTTCGTAATATAAAATCGCTTTGATTTGTCTTAAAACGCTCTTGATTCATACTATCCTCTTTATTGTTCTTGTACTAAACTTGTGTTAATTCTATATTACGTATATATATGTGCGTTGTTTATTTTTAAGTTTGTGTTTAAAAAACAATTAGTTTAATTAATAACCAGGGACCGAGACCTTAATGATTTTAACGGTTTCGGTAAGGGTTTAGGTCTTTAAAATATTTTTTTAAGGGTTTCGGTTAAATTTCGGGATTTTACGAAGCTTAAAATTAAGGTTCCGGTTAAAACCGGTTCCAACCGGTTTCTAATGTTTATTTTTTTATAGGTATTTGTTTTTCAAACAAAAAATGTTAATACATGTATGCACTATGCAGTTGTATGTTATACTCATTTAGGTACCGCGAAAGCTTATTTTAAAATATTTGAAACCTCATAACTCATAAGAACCTGTGTTTTTTTTAATAATTAATATTTATTTTACAGTTTATAATAATTTATGGTTAAATTTTAACAAAATTATTCAATTTGTATAATTAACAAAATATACTACAGTGGGTCCCGCTTAATGTGATCACTGGTTTATAGAATCAACCGTTTATTAGAATCAAAAATGAAAATCCCAAACCAAATTGTATGTTACTAATGTTAAATTGACTTTTTATTAGAATCACTAGGTACCTGATAATTGAATCACTTTTATGAACAATCTTATCGTTTTTATGGTATTTCAAACTGATTAATTTATAAAACCCATTTTATTTTTGAACTTATCAGTATGGCAGTATATCGTTGTACGTTGAATGATGTCATTCAATTTGTACGTCGTGTAATTGTGTCATTTATTTTATTCGGTTCATGATCAGACGTGTTTTTTGAAATGTCGACCAAACGAAAAGATTTGACAATAAAAGAAAAAAAGATTTACTCGTTCGTTATGATAAGTTGGATAAATTTTCTCAAAGAGAAGCCGCATTAGCTCTGAAAATTCCCCAACCAACGTTAAATAAAATTTTAAATAATCGTAAGGAAATTATTGTACACGAAGAACAAAATTTGCCCCTTTCTTGAAAACGAAAAGGACAAAATGCCGATGTAGAAGAATCTTTGTCACGATGGTTTCAACAAGCTAGAAAATTAAATGTACCGGTCAGTAATTCTATTTTATTTGAAAAATCTATAAATTTAGCTTTACAATTAGGCGTAGAAATTTTAGTCCAACGATCGGGTGGCTGACTCGTTGGAAAAACAGAAACAATATTGTTTCTAAAAAAACATGTGGAGAAAAAAAAGACAGATTTTCAAGCTGCAGAAGATTACTTAACAATTTTTATTGTATCGTCTAATTATGTACTTGATGACGTATATAATGTAGACGAAACTGGTCTATATTATCGAGTTTTACCAGATTATACTTTTGATTATTTAGGAAATACGGCCAATGGATGTAAAAACAAATGTAAAGACTTATAATTATGCTGGCGTGCAACATGACAGGTACGGATAAACGACGTCCTTTAATTATTGGTAAAAGTAAAAATCCAAGCTGTTTTCGGGGCGTTAAAACATTACCTGTCGATTTCAAATGCTTGGATGACTAGTCTAATTTTTACCGAATTTGTACGAAAATGGATAGAGAAATAAAAAAACCAAGACGTATTTTACTACTTCTTGATAACTGTACGGCTCATCCGAATTTACAAAATTTACAAAACATCAATTTGAAATTTTTACCACCAAACACTACGTCACTCATTCAGCCTCTTGAGCAGGAAATTATAAAAACAATGAAAACTTACTATCGAAAAGCAATGCCGAATTTTATTTGATGTGACATCCAAATGCATTTTAAATTGTTTTTGAAAAGCTAGGTTTTCACAAATTGAACCAGACGAAGAAGAATTACAGGAGGTTGAATTTATAGATACAAACTTTGAAAATTGGATTTAAATTGATCGAGATTTACTTACTTTTGGAGCATTATCTGATAAAGAATTAACTGATTTGCAAACAAAAAATCAAGAAGAAATTAATATTGATGATGATGATAATGACGATGACGAAGAGACCAATGAGGGAATCATTCAAAAATATACGAGAATTATTTTGGGAAAATTAAAAGGAGCTGTTCAAAAATACGACGATAACGATACTTTTTAGTTGTTTCAAAAGTTACAGGTTTGTATAATGTATATGTATATTGTAAACAAATAAACAAAAAAACATGAATATTAATTTTAATTTAATTTAATTTAATTTCAGGCTAATATGGAAATGAAATTGATAGACTGTCAAGTACAATCAAAAATAGATAGCTTCTTTAATTTGTTTTAAATGTATTTATTTAATTTTAATTTTAATTTAAGCATAAATGTATACCTAAATATAGAACCATTAAATAAAAAAAATGTATAAATATATAATTTTATCTGTAATAAATTATTAAATATGTATGTAAATTTAAATAAAAATGTAATTGTTGTTAAAAGATTGAATTATGAAAAAAATGTTGTAAATATTTTATAGAATTAACCGGTTAATACAATCAAAATGACCTACACCACTTTGATTACATTAAGCGGAACCCACTGTATTTAGAAGTTTAGGACTTACTAATCTATTCAGTTTTGTTTTGATAAAAATGCAAGATAAAATGTACAAAATACAAAGTAAATAAAAATAATTAATAATTATATTATATTACAGTATAATAAATTGTAATATTGAGATTTAAGTTAATTTAATAATATATATTGTAAATTGTATTATCACAGTTAACAAAGGTTTAATAAAACATAGAATTTCTTTTGCGTTTTAACCCTGGCATTGAATCAGTATTATTTTCTGTATCTTCTTTAATATATTTATTATCAACTTTATCGAACAATCTATTTGTACGTACTAACAATTGGTCTTCTAGGTTTTGTGAATTTTTTATTACACCTATAAGGTGAAAATATAAATTTAAGGTCTGAGAATAGACGTTCAACACTGACTTGAGTTGATGGAACTGATAATATTATTTTAGCAAGAACATAGATTTCTGAATAAATGTTTTCCATTGATTTCCAAAACTTGAGGATATTTGTTTTATGGTTTAATCGGTTTTGTTTAATATGGTATGACTTAAGAATTGTTTTAATTGTATGAAATGACGTTTGTGAGATTTTTGATACATTGTAAGTGTCAACATTATCCTTTTCTTTAAGAAAATCTTCAAGTCCATCAGAACCTGTGATTGAATCATCTTCTGAATCTTGATTTAATATTATATCTTCATTGTTCATAGTTAAGTCAACACTTTTCTGCTCCAACTTTTTCAATTGAAGCCAAACTCCAATTAAATGACTAATGGCAGTAGTGTATTGTTCATCATCAAGGATGATTTTGTAACGTGGGTCCAAAAAAATTGCTGCCAATAAAACTTTGTTTTTCATTAAATGTTGTTCCATATTAGTTTAACAATCAACCCATTTTTCAGAAAATGAAGTACTACATTTTTTAGTTTGAATTTTACACAAAATCCAGGCGCCATAAAAATCGGTTAATGCCAACTGCTCGCTTTGAAACTTTTTGGTACATATTTTTGACGGTAACAAAGCTTTTGAAATAACTTCAATTTGATTCCATTCTGAATTATTTAAACATACTTTTTTCAATGATGAATCATTTTCTGTCATATTCCGTATAAAATTTTTAAGATATTTGATTCTTTCCAACATATCCAATGTTGAATGCCAACGAGTTAAGCAGTCAATTTTTCTTTTTTTATTATGTATATATATGTTTTATTACATATGACTCCTGGATGTATTTATTATTATTGAGAATAAACTAAAACTATTTAAATTGCACTTTTACAGTAAAACTTTTATTATTTATAACAACGTAGTGTACTTTTAAATCATATTATTACTAATCGTATTCTAACCTCTTAAACGGTTGACCCGTCACAGCTTTTGATAACTTAACAATATTCCATAGTACAATTTAACAATATTACATAGTAAAATTTAACAATATTAAAATTACACTTTTTTTTTTTTTTTTTTT